GGAATCCGTGTAGATATCCTGTTCATTGTTTGTCTTGAAAGAACCGCATTCTGAGCATTTCGTATACAAAGTACTTCATTATCACTTCCTCTTTGATTGACTAATTCTGTGTGTGCTGAAGACCTTATGAAATCCATCCGTACTAATGAAAAGCAAGTCGTGATCAGCTGGAGAATTCCATAGTCATTCTGACCATATATTCATTCACCTTCCTATTTGCTTATTGACGAATTCATGTTGAAAGACTGTACAATTGATTTCGATTTACTAAAACAACATAAGGCAGTCTAATATCGAGTAATGAGATGGCTTCCTGTTTGAATTCACTCAGCTGATCAGGAGTGATTGAAAGTCGTTTCACACTCTACACCAAAATTATGGAGTAAATGTCTAAAATACAGAGAAGAACACAATTGCAATTGAATGAGAAGCGAAGTTGTTCGTTGTCCAAATGACCAGTGTGGAAGGGACGAGTACGGAGACTGAATGGCGAAATATGTGAAAATGAGATTAGATGGAAGTAACAGTGGAGTAGTTGACATTGATTTTCCAACTTTTCGGTGTCCTCGCTACCGTATATCTGATGCTATTCTTAATGTTCCACTTCATCATTTGAAGTATTTGCATAGCATTTTATGTGTAGTGTGTTCCTCAGTGATATGCTCGCCTCTGCTTGTTTGAATAATGAAAGTAACCATGACTGATGTATCGTTTTCAGAAGTGTGTGAAGTGGTCATTTGTCGTGCTTAAAAATTGGCTTTATTACCACACGACTGACATCTACAACTAACGGTCATGTCAGTGACACTGGTTATCAACAGTGAGAGAATATTGAGGATGAACATCAAAATTTCCGTGATGCAACAAACATATTCGAAGTGCTTTTCCACTCACAATGGAGTATACGGAATATAAATTCGATTCAAATGCAATGGTGACGCTACTCTGATATCTGTCATGAAGCTGCTGCAACCCGTTTAGCGAGAACTTCATTGCATGAATGGTGGTATTTCAGACTACCTGCACTGCGTCCATGTTGAGAGGTACAACTGTGCGAAACCAAGTATTCTGAAGTGGTCTGGTTTAGAATCCGAGGAGTGCAGTGATCACAACATTCCATCTATTCACAGCACCCCGACCGGATCCCATCATACCCCAATGGGACGAATCTGCTTTGTACGAATTCTATCGGCAAACAGTATTAGTCTGCAGACTTTTTCACTATGATGATTCGGAAGCAGCTGAGCCCGCACTTAACATTCACACTCATTCTTCGTGTTTGTCAATGGTTGCTTAGAATGCCTCTGATTCTTATCTCCAAATGCATTTCACTTGTGTAGATGAGAGGAACTGACAAAAGTGTGTGAACAAGAGTTTGGATACAGCAACATCCTCAGGAGTCTCCAAAACGTCATAATCACTCCACACTATCCGAGGATATATTGCATTCATTGAGATTACAGTAAACGTCGATGCAGTGTATGTATTTTCAACTTCTCAGTCGTCATGAATAATTCTTGCTTCGCTGAATACAATCAGTTGTTTCCAAAGGTGGTGAAATGAGCCCTGTGTGGTTTTAGATTCCATGCAGTAATCCGAGTGAAGTGCTTGATGGTTTGTTTTCTCAAAGTGTAGCCAGACAATCCACCCCAATTTCTTCCTGCATATTTGTTGCACAATCGATCCACATCCTCCAAGTCTTTTTTTCGTGTTGGTACATTTTATGCTTATTTCTTCGCTGCCCGCTAACTGTCTGTCGCACTGTCTAGTTTGGCGCAATCAGGAAAATCATTGGAGATAGTAGGCAGCCAGCCAGCTAGTCTTGTCTTACTCCCGTCTTCACTTCTTCAAAGGATTCCGTGAGTTTCCCATTGAGGATTATTTGGTATGCAGCATTGTCCTACAACTGTCGGATGAGATTTCTATTTTTTTATTTTTTATTTTATTCTTTTGATTTCAGCTTGATTCCACACTGCATTTTTGGTACAAGTATGGAATTTTCAGCACGGATATCAGTAGCCCAAATTTTGCAGGCCGACCATAGATATCAGGTGTGCGTCGGCATGGGATCGAACCTCAGAGAATGTGCATGGTCGGCGAGAGACCTAACTACTGTGCCACCGACGCACATGTATAACTGTTGCTGGCACCCCACAGTAGCCAGGTAGTTATCAAATCACCACTCGATCAATGCTGCGCCATTGAAGGCCTTTTCAAAGTCAATGAATTTGAAGTAGAGTGCTGAGTGCCATTTCAAGCTCTGTTCAAGGATGAACCGTAGTGTTGAGATTTGAACGATACATGACTGTGTTCCTCCTGAATCCAGCCTGCTCCGGTCGTAGTTTTTCATCCAGGACTTGTTTGATTCTCTCCAGGATGATGCGCCTCAGTATTTTGCTTAGGATGGACAGCAGCATAATGCCACACCCGTTGCTCCATTGACTTAAGTCTAATTCTTTTGGCAGTTTGAATAATTAGCCTTTCTTCCAGTCCTCAGCTACACTGCCCTCTTTCCACACCTTTTTCAGTAGTGATGACATCAAGTCTGCTGATGTCTCTGGACACATTTTCAATGCTCCTGCTGGGATCCCATCTGTTCCTGCACCTTCTCCACATTTTAGCATCTTGAATTCCTTGGGGATTTCCCTTCTTGTGGGAGGGTTGATGTCCACTGGTGATTCTGCTTCCGCTGTTGGTATTATTGAGCGCGTTGTATGTGATGGTCGATTTAGAAGTCTTTCAAAGTGTTCAGCCCAGTGTTTCCTTTGCTCCAGCCCATTGGTCATTGAATTTCCATCGTCATCCTTCACTGGCTTAATCTGTGTCGAACTTCTCCCAGATGGGTACCTTGTTGTTTGCTAGAGTGTTTCGAGGTCTCCTTTGCCTGCACTGCAGACTGCTCTGCTTCATTTGTCATAGCTCCATAATATTATCGTTTGTTTTCCCTGACACTCTTCTTTACTCTTTTGTTCAGTATATTGTAGCTTGCAATCAACTTCTGTCTTTGCTGTTCGTCAATGCACTAGACAATGTTTTGTTTCACCATTTTTCTCTCTTCTATTAGTCTCCAAGTGTCCGTAGAGATCCGTTGCTTGTTCTGTCCCCTCTTTTAGCTAAAATACTAACATGCAGATTTGAATCCACACCGCTTTCAAGCTGTTCCAGCGCTCCTCAACGCTGGTCTCTTCGCCTTTTCCTTATGGTTTCATTGGAGATATCCTTTGTATCCTGACGCTTCAGTTTTCGACTGTTGAACTTGGCTTGTGGTCTATCTGCACCTACTGTTTCCATGAAAGCTTTTAACTTGATTGGATTGTCCCTTGTACGAGATAGTGGTCTGAGCCGACGTCTGCTCCTCTTCTTTCTTTTGTGTCCAGTAGGCTGCGCCTCCACTTCCTTGAGATCGAGATGAAGTCGATTTGGTGTTTGATTCGCCCATCTGATGACACCCATGTAGCCTTGTGAATATCCTTGTGCTTGCATACGCTGCCACCAATCACTAGTTCGTTGAAGGCGCAAAAAGTCAGTGACGAGGTCTCCATTTTCATTCATTTTCCCGAGAGCTTCTCTACCCATGATGAGTTCTCTTCCTGCGTTGTCTGGTCCCAGTTTGGCGTTCATGTCTCTCATTAGTATTTTGATGTCACCAGCTGGAGTATTGTCCATTGCTACCTGTAGTTGTCTGTAGAATCCTTCTTTCTTTTCGAGGTCTGCGTTGTTTTTGGGTGCATAACATTGTATGATTGACACTTTCCTTCCTTTTGAGTTGAACCTGGCTGTCATTATCCTGGAGGTGATTGGTTCCCACTGCATGAGAGCTTTGGCTGCTGTTGGTGACATCATGATTGCCACTCATTGACTTAGTGTGCTTGTGATTGTCTTCTGTGTGACCGAAGTAGATCATGGACTCTCCTGTTGACAACTTGATGAGTCCACTCCCATTCCATCTGCCTGCACATATTCTCAGTATCGCTCACACCATATCGCTTCATCTCGTTTGCAATCTGCTCAGCTTTTCCAGTGTCATACATGGTGTGGACGTTCCATATCCCCACAAAGACTTTTTCTTTTCTCGCAAGAAGACTCATCGTAATGAAGTTTCTGTAGCAGCTTCGTTTACAGTGTGGGGTTACTGGCTTCATGCCTGAGAAGGAGATTGTTACATGAATCTATGGTTTCCAGAGGAGCAACTTTCTGGGTTTCTTCCCTCAGCATTGGGGAAACAAGGAATAAAGCAATCAGAACAGCACTAGCAAAATGAAACAAAATTCCTAACAGGAAGGGTAGCGACAACAACAACAAAATAGAACCGTAGTAGTGGTATCACCATCAAAAACAAATAACAAAAATGATATCAAAACCATAGACTCACTGACTCGGGTCTAACTGAATATGTAAGTCCAACAATATATACAATTATAGATATCAGTTAGCGTTAAGCGGTCACAATGCTCCAAACAGTGAGTTATAATGCCTATTATCAGCCAACGAGATTATATCCACCGATTCAGTGTTCGAAAGTGAACTGAATACAATAAATTCCACAACTTCCTGGCGAAAAAGAACCAGAGAAATCGGAGTTTTATGAAACTAAGCAAACGTAGAGCACTAATTGAAAAGCGCTTCAGGGTCGTTTTTTCTTAGCCTCAGTTTAGTAAGTCTAATTCAAATCTTTGTAAAGTCGAATAAATTCTCAACTGTGATCTTCCACGGTATATTACGATTGTCATTTCTTCATGTGGACACCATCACATGAATTCTGCTTACTATTTGGATTGAAGTGTTTCTGTAGATCGATAGATTTCATTATACCTATCAGATTCCGCTGATTAATTATGTGAGTCACCCGATACCATGAGACGTTCTTTCACTCACCAATCACAACACCTACAGCATTCCACAAGTGAACGATGAAATCGTGATTATTGTAATCAACCAATTACAACAGTAACTGTGACTGCTTGTTGTGGTATAAATAAGGGGACAGAAAGTCAGTTACCATAAAAAGATGGTCTACTTTGCATACAGCCACTTAGCCTTCATCAGCCTGTTGGCGCTTACAGCCATAAATTCAGGTGAGAATTTTTTCAAAAGATGGTATTTTTGTGGCTTATTTCCGCAGGACGTGTTTGCCTTATTCACTAGAACTGCTGAATATTTTGCCAGTTACTCTCACGGGCCATTCTCACTCGTTAAGCTTTTACTCCTTAATGGTCACTGTCGCGTAGGCTTTCATATCGAATTCATCTTGAGTGATAGATTGTGACCAGTAGTGTAACCATGGCGGAATCTATCTTCTCAATTCTGAATCAACAATTGTTTGTGTTAACAGTTGCACAGTGATATTTTCTCTCATTTGGCTGAGGTGTCAGTCTGAAATTTGCTAAGATTTAAATAGCCTGAATACGCGTTTTGAGATGATGTGTTTCTGCATTGCATTGGTATACACAAAGCTCCCGAGAGGCATTTGATGCATTTTAAGTGGAGAAATTGTTTTCTAATAATCTTCGGTTTTCTGAAACTTCTTAGCTGTATAATAATTGTCGTTCACATTTCTTCATTTCATTTCAAGGCGAATCGTTGGATGTAAATACACTTTCAAAGAAACTTATTAATGTTAATAGTAAGTACATTTCAAATGCATATCATTCGATTTTATCAATCGACTTGATATAAGAACAGAACTTGTGCACTGTGGTAGAGGATAGTTCTATTGTGGGTAAAATTTATTTTGATATATTCTCACAATCTTATATTGTAATATTTACTGATGACCACGTATCGAACACAATTTATTGCCGCTCATGATCATATCAAGGTACTTCTCACATACAACTTTCCTACTTCGTTTACATAATTCCATCATTATTTCAATTCATCGCTTGACTTGATTGGCAGTAGTATTTTCCATATTTCCGGTATGAGTGATGAATCATTCCTATTGCATGTGTTGATTGTGGACTCGATGAACAAGGATTCAGTAATCAACCTCTCTCTCTCTCCCACCTACCTAGATTATTTCTTAGAATCTTAATCCTCTCCCACCGTAATGTGTGGTTGTGTGTTAATGCATGCATTGCAATTGCTGAGCTTATTTCCAAATTACATATCTTCTCTGGGTCAACCAGTATTAGCTTAGCTAAATTCTTATGCTCCGAGAATCTGAATACTCCCGACCGACTAGTTTGACTTAAGTAGTTGACTTAAGACACAGACATTGCAGGGAAGTGTATAAATTATATTATTTTGTCTAATTAGGTCAACCGACAGGGTCCTTTAATCTGAAGAGTTTGTCCTTGTTGAATAAGTTCGTAGGTTTGAATGCTACTTTAATTCCTGCTTTATTGCGAATCCTACATAGGGTTTGAGATGTCTCCCATTTATAAAGTATAACTGAAGGTGCTGATATTCCTCCTTACTGATGTTGACATTATTAGTTTCAGCATTATATTTACTTTACTTTTCACCTTCTCTGATATTCCCAATGAATTTTATAGGATTATTATTTAACACCAACGCCTCTTCTATCTATCTCATTTCACAATTCAGGAATTTGTTGTAATACTCAGCGCTATTACTCAGTTTGTTAGACACTTAACTAAGTCTGCCTGTACAGACAACGAACGGATGAGATGAATTAAAGCGGTCGAAATATCTATTGGCAGGATGGGTTGGTTTATCATGAACGATAGTGAGCAGTTCACCTTCTTCTGTTCGTTTCATTTCACAATCTAACATCATAGCTAATTTGACTTGTTCATTTTCCAATTCAACTGTGAATTGTATTCCCTTCATTAGTGACTTGATATGTGTGTGTGTGTGTGTGTCAAGAAGCTATAGAGAGATGTGCTCTGTTTTTAACACTGTGAAAGTGTCATCCATATATCCTCACCATATTATTTTTGGAGTAGGATTAAATGTATTAAGGGCAGTATTTTCCCAGTTGTCCATAAAGATATCTGCTGCAATAGGGAATATTGGCGATGCCATTGCCATATTATCTGTTTGTACATCTATTGAGCCCTTGAATTTGAAGACAGTAGATGTGAGGTATAAGTGAATTCCTAAAATAGTTTTCTCAATGGGCAGCTTTGTTCTATGGGTAAGTTGAAGATCAGCAGTTAGTTCTCTTTTAACCGCTTCTAAGGCCACATTAATTGGTATATTAGCGTTAATACTAGTTATATCAAAACTAACCATTGTTTCATCATTCTCTAGTTCAATGTCATTCAGTTAAATTTTATCATATATGAATTAGTTAGCCTAGAGTTTGAACTATTTCCAATGGGGCATAATATTATCAGAGCTTAGCGTTTTGATAATTCATAAGTAGGAGTAATTCTGAAATCTACTGCAGGTCTTATGTGGTAACCCGGCTTATGTATTTTAATACTTCCATATATTCTACTAGCATTATTAGTTTCAGGCAGTTAATTAAACCACTTAGACTCACCCAGCGACGGATTCATTCTGTGCATTAATTCCACTGTAGATTTCTCGATCTTTGTCATTCCGCAAATATTAGTGTATAACAAACACTGTAGGAATTTAACAAAATAAAGCATATTATTTGAGTTTGTCTATCGACTTAAGAATTTATCATGACAAAAGTTTAAGAATGGAAGAGGTCTCTAGATGATAGTTTCAACCATGGTCTTTCGTGACGACTCAAAAATTGATGCAAAAACCATTGATGACGGTGTGAAGAATGCTTGGCATGGAGACAGTGCAGAGGATATATTGTTGAAGTGTGCTGAGTCGCTCAACTGAAATTCCTTCAGGCTTCTTCAGTGAAACGATTTCCAATGTGCGTTATTCACTTGCATTCAGTGATCTTATTTAACATATGACGATTCATTCAAAATATTCTCGTTTCCCTGCAGAAGAAATAGTTGGAGTCATTTCGGATCTGAGAGGTGCAGAAGAGAGAGTACAAAATATTAAAGGTATATAAAACCTTAAGCTTTATTATTGATAATATTTTTACGGTGGCGAAAACTTACTTCAAATTATTCTTTTAAAATTATAACTAATGATGACATCAATACATCAGTCACTTTACCTATTATGTAACAGATAATTATGGCATTGTAGTACACGTCTCCAGAAGTTGTAAACCAAAAGACTTCTAAATCGACCGCCACCTACAACGCGCCCAGCAATACCAACAACGGAAGCAGAACTACCAGTGAACATCGACCCTCCGACGAAATCAGAGGTCTTGAATGCAATCAAGATGCTAAAAGCTGGTAAAGCAGCAGGACCAGATGGAATCCCGGCAGAAGCTACGATAATAGACCCAGAGACAACAGCAAACTTGATGGCACCACTACTGGAAAAGGTGTGGAAAGAGGGCAAAGTACCTGAGGATAGGAAAAAAGGATACTTATTCAAACTACCAAAGAAAGGAGACTTAAGTCAATGTAAAAACTGGCGTGGAATTATTCTCCTGTCCATTCCAAGCAAAGTACTAAGCCGCATCATCCTGGAGAGAATCAAACAAGCCAACCTGGATGCGAAACTCCGACCGTAACAAGCTGGATTGAGGAGAAACTAGTCCGGTATTGATCAAGTCGCCACACTACGAATCATCATTGAGCAAAGCTTGGAATGGCAGTCACCTCTCTATCTCAACTTCACCGACTTTGAAAAGGCCATCGACAGCGCAGCGTCGTTCGAGAGGTGATTTGCCAACTAATTCGCTACTACTGTGGGGTCCCATCGACAATTATACATCTCATCCAACAGTTGTACGACAATGCTGCACACTGCCAAGTAAACTAGTCCGGTATTGATCAAGTCGCCACACTACGAATCATCATTGAGCAAAGCTTGAAATGGCAGTCACCTCTCTATCTCAAGTTCATCGACTTTGAAAAGGCCATCGACAGCGCAGCGTCGATCGAGAGGTGATTCGGCAACTAATTCGCTGCTATTGTGGGGTCCCATCGACAATTATACATCTCATCCAACAGTTTTACGACAATGTTGCATGCCACGTAATCGCCGACCATGCACATTCTCCGATGTTCAATCCCATGCCGACGCACACCTGATAACTATGGTCGGTCTGAGAAATTTGGGATACCGATATCCATGCTCAAAATTCCATACTTGTACCAAAAACACTGTGAAATCAAGCTGTAAATCAAAAAAGGTGAAACTGACTAGCTGGAATTTGGAGGGATTAAAAGTAAGACCGTTTTTCTTGGACCATTGCCTGATTTGTAATGAAAAGCCATTTAGTTTAGAGCAGTCACTTTGACATTTGACAGGCAAAGATACAGTCTGGTCGTCAGCATATTTGACAAAATTAATGTCATTTGAAGATGGTAGGTCATGTAGAAAGAAAGAAAAGAGAAGTGGGGAGAGTACAGCACCTAGGGGGACACCAGCTTCAGTGGACACAACAGAGGAGGATTTGCCTTTGTTTACGGTATACTGCATTCTGTTAGAGAAGTAGGATTGCAACCAGTTAGTGATCCAGAACTCAGTTTGTGTCATACAGAGCTTATTTGACAAGAGACGTCTAGGTACAGAGTCGAAAGCAAAAGTGAAGTCGAGAAACGTGCAGCGGACGTATTTCGCACCTTTATCTAATGATGAAACGATACTGTTGTATAAGACGGCTGAAGCGTCTAAAGTGCTCCTCCCCTGTCTATAGGCAAATTGTTTGGGGTCTTCAAAGCCCTTAAGTGAGGGTTCGAGTTTAGGAAGTACTAGATCCCTTTATGAATTTAGATATAGCAATGAAAAGACGTAATTTCAGATATATTTCTATGACAAGTCCCTGTATGATCAGACTGTTCGAAATGTGTTGCTCAAATACATTAAACGGTTCAGACAAATTACGTATTCCTATTGCTTTATATAATTTGATATAAGTTGAGGAGTTACTTTGCAATTTCTGATGCGTACCGTATGAAAATCGGTCATGAAAGTTTAGCATAACTAGCTCTGTTAACCAGCTGTTCTCCTCAGGATCATTCTACATAATTTTATCACTAAATGTTCCGCTACGTATTTTACTCTGCTAAATAGATTGATCAGATCGCCACTCTACGAATCATCCAACATTGAGCGAAGCTTGGAATGAAAGTCACCTCTCTATCTCAAATTCATCGACTTTGAAAAGGCCATCGACAGCGCAGCGTCGTTGGAGAGGTGGTTTGGCGACAATTTCCCTACTACTGTGGGGTCCCATCGACAATTATACATCTCATCCAACAGTTATACGACAATGCTGCACACTGCCAAGTAATCCACAACGGGAAGCTTACGGAAGCCTTCGAAGTGAGGACGGGAGTGAGACAAGCTGGCTGCCTACAATCACCAATGATCTTCCTGATTGCAGTAGATTGGATAATGCGACAGACAACGGCCGGCAATGAGGAAACACGCATAAAATGGACTCACACAAAAAGGGAACTTGGAGGATCTGGACTTCGCCGATGACACATTTTTATGTCTGATTTCCCACAAACCGGAAGATATGCAAGTGAAAAGCAACAAGTTGGCAGAAGAAGCATCCAGAGAAGATAGGACTTCAAGTGAACATAGATAAAACAGAGGTGATGAAGATTCCTGGCCAACACCGTCAACAGCACCAACAACAACAAGAGACAACAATCAGCTGGCATAAATGGGAGGAACCTGAAAGAAACAACCTCTTTTACCCACCTACCTGGGAAGTATCGTTTCAACTACAGGCGGAACTGACGAGGATATCAAAGTGAGAATCGGAAAAGCAAGACAGGCTTTCATTAATCTTAAGTCTGTGTGGAGGTCAACATCACTCAGCATCACAAATAAGATACAGATTTATAACTCCAATGTGAAGTCAGTGCTACTTACTATATGGGTTAGAGACCTGGCGCGTCATTAGGAGAATCTCAAACAAACTTCACTCTACCATTAACAGTTTTCTTCGCTCAATACGCAATATCATATGGCCGGCCAGAAAAGATGACCAACAGGGATCTCTGGCAATGAGCGAACCAACCAGGAACCGATTGTGAAACAAATTGGCAGAAGAAGTGGAGATGGATTGGCTGGCCATCCACTGAGGAAACCATCAAGTGAGTGACATAACTAGACAAGCCGTTGCTCGAGTGGAACCCGATTGGAAGGGAAGCGGCGAGTTGGTCGTTAGTGCAAGGGTGACTTGGAGGAGGTCATGTGAGGAGGAGATGAAAGCATGTGGGCAGACCTGGAGTGGATTAGAAAAGTTGGGAGATTGAGACACGCAGCTGAAGCCCTATGTTTCTCTAGGAATTAAAGGATATAACAATTTTAATAATAATATTAGAAGCTGTAAACACTAAACCCTTTTCCTTTTTCTGTTTTTCTAGACAAGATTCTCATTTATAATGCAAGCTTGCGAGGAGAACTAGAAAATTGTAAGGAAACTTCATTTATTGAAACGACGGACAATCTATTTTTAGATACGAACTGCCTGGAAACTGCATACATGTACAGTTGGGGAAATATGGTATTTTACAGTGCGTTCTGACAACTTTTTCAATTCAAATATAATTTTTTTGTTTTCACCAAAATCTGTTCACGAAACTGAGTTTTCATCTGATAAATCAGACGTTGGTTTCGTGATTCAGTCACAGTTGTTGAGATGCGCTCTCACCGATCATTTAAATAATGAACGCTGGCAAATTTATCAACTAGAAATTGATCAGAGCTTACTGAATATACTAACCTCTGTCCATCTTTCTCAGGGATATTAAACCGTCTCCCCAGAAGTAAGTTAAATACTTTGAATCATTTCTATGCTTATCTACCGTCATAATTATTTCTCGTCAATATTCTGGCTAACAATCTTCACCTGGCTTATATTCACGCGTTTCCATCTCAACTAGTGTTATTTTAGTCCTGCCTCTTATCTACTGACGTTTAATAAAGATGTAGAATTTCCCTATACGCCGATGAACATGATGTTTGACTGTTGTATTTCTGATTTCGAAAATATGTTGACAATCTGTCAACTAGTAAACATCTTTTATTCAAGTGTTGGTTTCTAGGGATTTGATTGGCTTCAGGATTTCATCATGAGCTGACATTAGTTGGAGAACCATTGGAAAATCTGGGAGTACTGGACAGCTGTTTCGTCCTAGTTTAGGAGTCTTCATCAGTGCGCACCCGCCGCCATCAGGGTTCGAACCCAGGACCCAGGCTTAATGGTAAACGAGCTCGCCTTGTAACCAGAAGGTCCTTGGTTCGAACCCTGGCTGTAGGTGCGTACTGCTGAATAGTCCGAAAACTAGGACGAAACAGCTGTTCAGTACGCCCAGGTTTTTCAATGGTTCCCTAACTAATGTCAGCTCATGATGA